TGAGTAATAAGTCTGCCAATTTTAGAAGGGAAGGCAGAATTAATTTGGTGTCACTAAAGATTACAACTTCCCAAAGTATGCATTTCACTTTCCAGACAGCATGGCTATTGCTGAGAATTCTAGGAGTTGAAAACTGGTGTATATATCTGAAATTATTTTTTTGCTGAATTATTGTTTGCATTTCTCTGAACGTTTGATGCCCATCCAGGTCTATACATTTTAAAATACACTTCAGGGAAAATGGAATCTAGAATGTGCACAAGGAGTTTTAAAAAGCCAGTATTAAGTGCAAGAAAAAGTGTATTACAAAAATACATGTAAGAATTCAGTGAGGTTTTTTTTCACTTAATTCACTTTCATCCAGGATTTAAAACAGTGTGCAAAACAAAATTGAACCTGTCTGTATCTGAGTACTTAACCATTAGTGTCTGTGGAAAATAATGTAGGATGGTAATTGGAATATTAAACTATGATTGAGGACCCCTAAGCATGGAACCTTATTGGGTATTTTTGGTATTGTCCCTTAACCTAGTCTACCTGATCAGATCATTGTTGCCAGGAAGAAAATGCAGGAGGGAATGTTTTGTATGCCACCTTGAATTTCTAAAGGAAAGATGAAATAAAATCCAACAGATCATCATAAAAAGGTGAAGTGGGAGGAGTATACATTTTTTCATAAACCTTTGGAGAATGAGTGAAATCAGAAAAGATAGTGCTGCATTACATCAACCCCTGGTATGCCTTTGCATGATTTGAGATTATGGAATAATCTGAAAATTTTATAAGAAGCATCAGAGATTTAGATGAAATTAGTGGAATTTAATGCTCTAGCAATCCTTGATGTGACATGCACTACTGTCAGCAGTATTATGGTTTGGTAACTGAAACATGTCTAAGAAGAGTTTTTAAAAGCTACAGGTGTTGACTGTTCAAGCTCTTTTCTTATCTGCTGTGATATGCTACTCTATTTCCTTTATTCAGAGAGAATATACAGCAGTGTTTCTCAACTATGGGAACTTTAAGATGTGTGGACTTCAACTCCCAGAGTTCAGCAGTCAGCCTTGCTGGTTGGAGAATTCTGGGAGTTGAAATCCACACATTTTAAAGATGCCAAAGTTGAGAAACATGAATAAAATCTTTACATTATCATGTTTGCCTCTCAGCTACTAGATGCTGCTGCTAGATCTCTTAGTTTGGAATGTAAACGACTACACTGTATACAAAAAGGGTCACAGGGGTCTCATAATGGAAATTGGCAGAAATTAGACCGGGAAGCAGAATGCTATAGATTCATGGTAATACATTCATGTGGAAGACTGATTTCCACAGATGTGCATGAACAAGGTTTATGTATCTCTACCACAGAAAGCCTGTTTGGTGTAATGGTTAAGGCACCAGGCTAGAAACTATGAGACAATGAATTCTAGTTCTGCTTTAAGCACAAAAGCAGCTGGGTAGCCTTTTGCTAGTCACTGTCTCTCAGCCTAGGAAGGAGACAATGGCAAAACCACTTCTGAAAAACCTTGCCAAGAAAACTGCAGGGACTAGTCAAAGCATTCTCCAACAATCAGACATGTTTAAATGGACAGAAAAAATGTATCTATCACAGCCTTGAGAAAAGCTTGAATATAGTTTTTATGAGCATTGTCTAAGTGTAACATGTGCTATTTTTTTTAGAAAAGAAAAAAGTGCTCTAATTTTGATTAGAGCACTTTTACTGCCAGTTGAACTCTTCATAGCTTTAGTTGGGGGAAAAAAGAAGTATGCAGATAGAATTATCTTGACTTTGTTTTTGTTTTGTTTTTTGCCCCAGGTCATTACGTTCTTTGGGTTGTTTAGTTACGAGGGTGGTATTTGTTTTTGAATTCCTGCATTACAGTGCAATGAAGTTATTCCTAACGTGACGGTCAGATGAGACTTGAAACCAAGCCTTTCCATTCTGAATATATGGTGCAACTTTCTTGGATTTATCCTTTTCATACCGTAAGGATATATGTTTTATAGTTCTGATGCAACAAACAGCTTTATGGAGTTGAGCAAACATTGTTGTTGCCACCACTGGTCAGCTGCTTTTCAGCCTGACCTAGCAGGGACAGAGAAAGAGGCTGGGTTGAATTAATCTCCCCCACTACCTAACGAGGATGGCCCTGGAGGAGAGTGCTCAGGAACACGAATGGAGGGAGGCATGCTTTCACTAGCACCCACTAGTTCAGTGGTTCTCAACCTGTGGGTCGGGACCCCATTTGGGGTCGAACGACCATTTCACGGGGGTCGCCAAACAACACAGTCCGCTATTTTTTTCCCCCTTTTCCTTAGCTGTGCTACTCCCTTTTATTCTATTAGCTTTTGAAAGCCAATAGAATAGACTCTCTTGAATAGAATCTAATTCTATTGGCTTTCAAAAGCCAATAGCAATTGTCCAGGCTGTCTCTGCCCTGCTGAGCCCGCCAAAAGTCCCATTCGGCAAACGGTGCTGCACCAGTTGAGTAGTCCTCGATTTACGACTGGTTGAGTAGTCCTCGACTTACAACCGGTTGGGGGGTCGCGGCATTAAAAAGGTTGAGAACCACTGCACTAGTTCCTTGGAAGACCCCCCTGAGGTCACGGAGCATGTCAGATGGAATCCTCGAGAGAGAAATGGGAATAAGCAGGGAAAGCTCAATATTAACGCTAAGGATGCTTTGAATGTGTTTTTCAACTTGGCAGCTTTTAAAATGAATGGTTTTAAAGTTGCCAAGTTTGAGAAACACTGATTTAAAGCAACCTCAGGTGTGGGCTGGAAGGCAGAGGGAGGCAGAAAACGAAGTTATCAGGGCCTGGTGGTGCCACAGTTGGAGGAAAGTGAGGAAAGGTTCTCGCAGCAATGCCCAATTTCTCCACTTTGTGAAACTGGGGGGGGGGGGGTCAGAACAATGGTTCCAAAGGTAACAAAAGGTTTTACTATAAATAAAGGAGTCAAACAGCCAAGGTGGGTCAAGATTCCCGAGAATGTCTAATCGTCATCCATAGTCTTATATCATGAGTCAAGTAAAAAAAAAAAGGGGGGGGGGTTCTCAAAGAGTTATGAGGGAGTTATTCTGGCAAACTCTTTGATTCTCTGGACTTTGTTTTTTTCTGTACATTAGGAAGAAATACGAGAATGAGTTATTATAAGATCTGGTGCTTCCTAAGCATACTGCCCAATCTTGTCATCTTAGAAAAATGTGTAATACTATAAATAGGTGATGCAACAGACAAATATTGCTCAGTCACATAAAACGGTTGCCAAGTGGTTCCTGGCAGAATTATGGCTAAAATATTGAAACAAAGAGCTAGTGTTTTTATTTCAGAATAATCACATGGGACACCCCAAACTGTGTGTAGCTATACTTCCTATAGAAATCTAGAAACAGGATTTCCCTCCCTTCAAAAAGCAATAAATCTACTTATATTGAATACAAAATTCTGCTGCACAAAGTCACTCCTTGCTGGTCCTTCACTCTGTGGTCCTTCACTCTATGCTTTAACGGTAGATGTTTGAGCCAGAAAGTTAGGCAAAATTCTGCTGTTGATATAGGATTTTTTTTCTGATTGAAACGTATTCTTTATCTTGGGCATCATGAGTCGTCGTTTGTAACTATCATGTTAATCCTTGTATGCTGGCCAGAGTAACTTTGGTGAAATGAATAGCCATATTAAATAAATAAATGTTCATCCTTGTAGTGGTCCCTTTGTAACATTCAAAAAAGTGTTTGCTCTGTTGCTAAGAAGTAGCCCATAATGATAAACTTCTTTTTTGTAACCTATCAGGATTACCAGATTATGACATTTTTTTTCGTCCTTGAATGGCTTATCATATTTTTGATCTTTCATGCAAAAAAAAGGGACGGTTCTGCTTTGTAGAATCTGCTGATAAAGGAGCTATATCATTGTTTTTTTAATGGTCCAAAGTACTTCTTGAAGCACTACATCTCTAATAAGCGTAGGTGTTCTTTGAAAAGAACAGCAATGATGAGGTAGGGGTTGCTTTTATTTTGAAACTCTCAGTCTTCCGGTCATACAATTTGGGGAAGGAGGAAGACACAAGTTCTTGTCCTTTAGACTGTTCTTCACGAGCTAAGGAGGAAAGCCACTGGATTCTATCAACAGCGGAGGCAGAATCTATTCTAATATAAAAGCCAGCCATGGTGTCATCATGTTGACTTAGCAGCTTTAGGGAGAAGTCCATATTTTCATGCGAGCGCAGCCTGAACATTGAACTTTGGGGCTAAGGCTGTTGGCAGAGCAGTGACAGATTGTTTTATATTCATTCCCTTAATGTCTGTCTCGTTAAGTATATTGTACTGGTGCACTCTTTTGGCAGACCTCATCCTCTTTTTCATTAACATGCACATTAAAGTTTTATGCCAAGAAAACTGGCAGTAAGTTTGACTAACAAACTCTGCTCTGTTCCCAACCAGTCAAGCCTTTGAGCGATAACATCAAAGCAAGGATTAAAACTAAATCAGAACACTAACAATTAAAAAATAACACCCACTCACACGCTGTGCTGCCTATGATCGTAATAAAGATTGGATTGTTTTGATCCATGCATACACAAAGATGAACACCCACAGTCTGTTCGGGTGTGGAACTGTTTGATTATCTTGTGAAATTCAGGAAAAGTGGGTTTAATATATCTCTATGGGAAACATCTTTCAAAACTTGGGGGCTACCACAGAGAAGGAAACCCAGGATTTTCACAGCGCTAACAAGAAACAAGAACTATTCCACATTATCCAGGAATCTCTAGGGCTCCAGCCTTTACTCAGAATAAAGATAGAAGATCTATTGCCCTATAAATATTCTTGATTCCCATCATCCTTCACTACTAAATAAATTGTCTATGGTAGATGGAAGGATGGCTTCAGGTTCTCCATCCTAATGCTAAATAAAGATTTGATGCATAATGATATATCAAATGTAATATCTCCTTTGCTTACTCATTAATTCTTTCTCTCTCACCCTACCTTGACTTCCAGAGCAGTTAGTGCTTGGAGCCTCCAAAGAACTATCTCGGCGCTGGGATAAGGACTATGATTCCTTTGTGCTTCCTCTGCTAGATGAACTGCAGCCATGCTATATCCTTTACCGCCTGGACACCCAAAATGCACAGGGCTATGAGTGGCTTTTCATCTCCTGGTCACCTGACAACTCTCCAGTAAGCTTTCAACTTATTCCTATTCATGGAATACAGGTTAAGAACATCTGGTTCCTGCTGAAGGATAAAAAAATATGCAAGGTGCTCTTCAGAAACATTGAAGTTGTTCTACTTCCCTTTTCCAATATAAAACCACCAATGGATGGTGGTTGCATGTGCCTTATATCTGTTTAATCCAGGGGTCTTCAAACTTGGCCCTTTTACGACTTGTGGACTTCAACTCCCAGAATCCTTCAGCCAGCGTGCCTGGCTGAGGAATTCTGGGAGTTTAAGTCCACAAGTCATAAAAGGGCCAAGTTTGAAGACGCCTGGTTTAATCTATGCTGCATTCATTGCCAGCCAGAAACTTTCCAGGTGTTAATGATTCCCATAATCTCCAGTCAGCATAGATCAGGGGTCTTCAGACTTGGCCCTTTTACAACTTGTGGATTTCAACTCCCAGAATTCCTCAGCCAGGCACACTGGATGAGGAATTCTGGGAGTTGAAGCCCACAAGTCGTAAAGGGGCCAAGTTTGAAGACCCCTGGCATAGAGTTTGACCATGGTAATCATGTATGCAAAGCTGCTTGGTTTAGAAGCAGTTGTTGCAAATATAGAACAAGTATTTCTCATTCAATGCAGGCTCTCTCAATCATAATGGAAGAGCTTGGAGCTCAACAGATCAGTTGGAATTCAGAACTTTCCCCAGATGATTGAAGCAGATTATTTCTGAAGTAATACAGCTGTTTCAACTTTGAAACAGGACATTCTGAATTTGAAACAATTAAGATGTGAACCATTTTACCTAATCTTACTAGTTGAATATGAAAATTAAACTCCAATATACAAGAAGTCACTAAATTGGTGACTATATTATTTGTTTATTAAACCTCAAGGCCACCCAACTTCTAATAACTGTGGGTGGCTTCACAAAATTAAAAGAACAACAATTCCACTAAAACAATAACTTTTCAAACCACCCTTCTAGATCTGGGGTAAAGGAGCAATTGTAATAATCTTAACTCAAGGTTTGGGAGAAGAACCGGTTTTTAGAGAACAGTTGAAAATGAGCAAGTGGGGAGACCATGCAAATCTTAGGGAAATGATTTTCCAAAGGCAAATGCAGTGACAGAAGAGGCTCACTAGGTGACATTGATGGGACCTGAAGCAAGCCAAGTCCATTGGAGAATAAAAGAAAACAGAGTCTGCAGGACACAGTTGGTTCCTCAAATAGCTAGACTTTATGCTGTGTAGGGCATTGTAAGAAAAAAACAGCAACTTGAATTGCATCTGAAGGCAACTGGTAATCAGTGCAGCTTACCTAGCAGGGGTCTTATATTCCCATTATTGTCATGCTACAGTCTGGATCAGCAGTAGCTTCTGAGTGGTGTCCGCCCCAGGTTTCACAAGCCTACAATATAATGGTATCAATCCAACAAATTGGATTACTTCTTTATGAGAAGTCATGACGTTTGGTTTGCCAGGTACGTTGTAGCATGTAACCAAGTTTCTGTAATCTCATAATCAAGGAAAAACCCGCCTCATTAGCACTTGGAGAGAGATCACGAGGAAATCCCAAGGTTGCAGGTTAAACTGCCAAGTAAACTACACGGATCTTCCATGAAGTCATCGGGAGTTGACTCGAAGGCCTGCTTGTTTGCTTACTTAATGAAGTTCAGGGTGAAAGAAAAATATAAATGGATGGTGTTTTCCATCCATTTATATTAGTATCCAGTCCTTATTTTAATACCTTTAAAGATGTACATGGAGAAGACTGAGCACTACAAATCTTGTCACAAAGAGTTGTTAATGCAGGGCTTTTCAACCTTTTCACCCATTGTACCACTTTTAGGATATGGCAACAGCCGAGTACCACCAGTCGCCTAGCAAGGTGTCAAAAACTTGACCCCTCCCCCCCCAAAAGGAAAAAAGTGATAAAGTACAGGTAGTTCTTGACTTACAACAGTTCGCTTAGTGACTGTTCGAAGTTACAATGGTACTGAAAAAAGTGCCCCCCAAGCCACAGCCGAGCAAGACAACTGCCTGCCCACCCAGTGGCGCTCTTCCTCCTGTCCAAGGTTTTCATTGTTGTGAGCATTTCTGTTGAGGATTGGCAACAGATGGGGTGGGGGGGTGGTTTTTATTCCCCCCGTCTGCTGGATGGTTGCAGCAGGTTTTGGTCACTTCACATGACCCTGGGACACTGTGACCATCATAAATATGAATCAGTTGCCAAGCATCTGAATGTAAATCACAAGACTCTGGAGATGCTGCAACATTCCAGCTGATCGGCACTTCTTCTGAGCTCAGCAGAAGCACCAGGATCAGTGCTGCTTTCCAGCTGATTGGTGCTTCTTCAGGGCTCAGCAGAAGCACCAGGATCACTGCCAAGCTGCAGCTGGAGCCTGGCGCTGATCCTGGTGTTTTCACTGAGCCCTGACAGCCCCGATCAGCTGGAAAGCAGCACTGATCCTGGTGCTTCCGCTGAGCCCAGCTCCAGCCATCTCTTGCTCAGGCTTGTGCGGTGCTGCCACCAGTTCAGCTCATTCCCCTCCCCCACTACCACTTTTCTAGGATGGTCGCGTACCACCTGCCAGGTGCCAATGTACCACAGGTGGTACCCGTACCACTGGTTGAAAAGCCCTGTGTTAATGTTTAGTCTTGTTATAATGGGTTAAGCAATCTCTGATTATATTTAAAAACTGGCACAGCTTTTGTCCGTCTTGGGGAAGAGACCTCTAGTTGTATGAATTTCAGCTCTCAGAATTTTCAGTCTGGCCGTGCTGTCTGGGGAATTCTGGGAGTTGCTCAACACATCCAGAAGGTGCTTCTGGGGGAGACAGAGCTAACAAATTCATTTTGATATAAATATTGGTTAAAAAAATTCCCTGCAATTCCAAATATGAAAAGTCCTTCCTGATGGATTTCAGAACCATAAATAATCCTGCAACTCTTTTTTTTTTTTTTAGTCACTGTGAACTGGATAGTTCTAATAGTTAGCAGCCATGAATGTCTTCCCATAGTTCATATTCTCTTCTCTTTCTCTCTGGGCAACAAGGTTAGACTCAAGATGCTCTACGCAGCAACCCGAGCGACAGTAAAGAAAGAGTTTGGAGGAGGACACATCAAGGATGAACTCTTTGGGACAGCAAAGGTATGGCAGTTGGTCATATCCACTGAGATCAGGACAATCAGAATCGTAACCTTTGAGGTTTGGGATGCTGCTTCTAAAAGCCAGACTAGAATTTGTCACCGCTACTCATTTTGAAGGGCTTGCTTTAAGATTGCAAGGATTCTGACTGCATTGAAGAAAGAACTTGAGTTGTGTCTCTGTTTTGCCATATGAAGGTGCATAGAGGTCCTGTCTGATTCATCCTTGCAGTACATGCTCAGTTTGAAACCCTGATAAAATGAGTGCAGCGACTTGAGTACATGACTTGAGACAAGGACATAAAATAGGTAAAGATGTCTATGGAGATTCTCAGTCATCCAGGTCATGCTTTTCCCAAAGGTGTTTTTTTCAAGAGGCAACTGGACTCGTCTACAAAGGAAAACAAGGAAGTCCGGTTGCCTCTTGAAAAAGCACCTTTGGGATAGGTAAAGAGGTACACAAGGTGATCGGTTTGTGCCGTAAGAGGAGAGGTGATGATTTATATCCTGTGGAAGATTGCTTGTCTCTAGCCTGCTTTTCTTTTGTCCTTCCTCAGTTATTTTGTTTGTTTACAACCTTCAGTTCAGAGGAAGTCTGGTCCCAAAGTCTTTAGACTGCTTTGCTGACTATACTAGTTCACTAATTTGGAAGGCAAAAATTTGTAATGCATGCGTTGCATCAAGTCCCTGCCCTAGTCTCTTTCCCTCCAAATTCAAATACAGTCATAACATGATAAAAAGAAAGGAGTTTCATATTGTGGATTGGCATAAGTCTGGCTCTTAACTCAGAATTACTGATTATCTAAATGCTTTGTATCCTGTCCAATATAAAATTTAAGCTTACCTAAGCTTATTTTACATATTGTCCGGAAAACCCATCTGAAATGCTTACAAACCTGGAACGTTTTTTGAAAGTGCCAGAAGGGGGCAGTATTGCACATCAAATGATAATACATTAGATTATACAGTACTGTACTATAAATGAAATATTCTGGATGTCTCCCTGCAAAGCTCTGTCATTCAATATAATTGTGAGATTCTCGAGCAGCTATCCTCTTTACCACCATCTACTAGGGTTGTTTTGTTATTGCTTATTTACTGAACTTAATAGGCCTCTGGAGCACTGAAATCTATTAGGTGGCTTACAATACTGTAAAACAAATGTAAAATCAAAGCATTAAAACCCATAAAAAGAACTAAAACCAGTAAAATTAATAAAATGAACATTTAATCAACAGTGAAAAGACAAAGGTGCATTTTGAGGACTTTTTAAAAAGCTAATAAATGTGTTGGACGGCTCAACTCTAAAGGGAATGCATTTCAGCGATGAAGAGCAGCAATAGAGAAGGGCTTTAAAATTCATCTTTAACATTTTTGTGTCACCATCAGCCAAGTCCCTGGACCCTGAAGGTGAACCTTCCCAGGTGATCTCAGGAAGTATGGAGCAATAGCTTGAAAGTGATATTCTTTCAGATCTCTGCTGCCATGGAGAATTCTAAAGTAATGACCAGTAATTTGTATTTAGTCCAGAAACAAGTTAGTACCAGTGCAGTGCAATAAACACAATAGTACTATGATTTCCTCACATTCTTCTCATAACCAACTTGGCCTCCTGGTTTTCGGTCACAGGAAGTTTCCCGTCTGGGCAGCTTCAAGGCCCAACCCTGAGTGGATAAAGGCAAACTTGAGGTAAATTACCTCAGATGACCTCAGCAAGTGAAATTTCTTTTTAAGAAGATGTGTCATGGCACATTGACCTTTATATAATGCAAGTGGTACCCATGACTTATAATGGCTTTCCTTCAGGATTCCTCAGGCTCCCTACTTCCATCTGATTTTTTTTAAATTTATTTTTAATGATGAATGGGAAAACTAGCATGTTATACAACGCCAACCTCAAGCATCTTTTGTAGTTCCAAGAAGACCTCTGATCCTCATAGTGCTCCCAAATGCCTTCTTACCAAGTAAATATAGGGGAGCTGCAGCTCAGTCTTTTTTAGAGCTCTTCCCTGCACCCTTTTTAAACAAAAAAGAAGAGCTGAGATAATAGGCAATGGTCTGCAAGGCTAGAGGAGGTTGTAAAAAACAATTTTGCCAGTTTGCCTTGGTTGGCACTTTTGTGGCGAACCAGACCAGTTAAGGCAGCCATTTTATGAACGTATCCTATATTCTCCTTTGAACCAGTTTCATGCTTTTCCTGTGGTTGCTTTTCTGTTGGACCACAGGAAGACATCTCTCTCAGTGGCTACCAGAAGCATGTGTCTTCTTACTCTGCTCCAGCTCCTCTGACGGCAGCCGAACAAGAGCTTCAGCAGATCCGCATCAATGAGGTAAGGAGAAAGTTAACTGTGCTATTGATTATGCTATCATTGTTTCTTTCCAACTGCAATTTTCCCTTGGTGCTTTGTGCGGTAAAAATGTTCGTGATATCATTTAAAAGTCATTCATTCCATTCAGGTACAATTGGGAATAAAAGTTTGCTTTTGGAGGCTGTCGGATAGCCATAATAGTATTTGCATTTTTCCATTTGGAAGGAACAGCTATGCGCTCCAGCTAGGAAAATGAAGTTCAGGATGCTTAAAAGGGAGATAAAAGCTTCTGAAGTAAAGGAATATGCTGGTTGATGCTTCCCGTCTCTTTTTTCATCATTTTTCCTTCTGTGTTTCATTGATTTTTTGGGGAAACAATGGTTTGTTTTTCAATCCCATAGTTGTACAGGGAAAATGCCAAGCTTGCGTCTATCATTCCCATGGTAGTTGCTTTCCTTTAGGACGGTGACCTGCAATATTTGAGCAGCCATATTTTTCTAATCATGCTTTCATTGATTTATTTATTTCAAGTATTTCTGTATCACCCAACTCATATGACTCTGGTGGTTAGGGGTAGGTAAAACCTGCCTTCCCAGGTACAAAGTACCACTATCTTAAATCCTGGAGAAACTCAGGTTTCCCCCAGAAATAATGGCTGGCTACATTATTTGGTAACATTTGATCCGGCTGCCATGAAGGAATGGCAATACACATGTACTGATTTCCTGTTTTTATTCAGGTGGTGTAAGTTGCATGCTATTGAAAATTGATCTGTTTATGTGGTTATTTATTTGTTAGATCCCATCTTTCTTCGAAGAACACAACTTAACTTCTGTGGGGATCTGGCTTCATTTTATCCCCCAGAAGAGTAATCCAATGAGACAAAATTGCAGTGAGAGAAAGATTCCATGGCTAAGGGGGAACTTAAATCTGGCCCTAGTCCAATATCTGTGCCATTATGCCAGGACTAGCAATATATGCTTTTTCTTACAGACATATTCCTGTCCTTCCTCACCTATAGGACAGCTGCCCCATAAGGAAAAGAAAAAGAATGAAAACAGTTTTTGAATTGCTCATGGTGTATAATGACATCATCCATAAACGTAATGAAACATCATTTAGTGTGGACAATAGACCCAACTTTTTGTCCCAAGTTGATGTTGGGCTACTGATCCAATCATACATATTGGCTGGGATGGAGAGGTGTTAAATAACATCCAGGATCTACCACTGTAAAGAAACACCCAGAAGGAAGGGTGTCACGTATTGGTTCGGAGGTAGTAATCCCACATTAAAAGTAGAAAGTTGAACTAATCCAGCAGTATGAAACCTGAATCAAAACACTCATAGTAAAAGGATAGCACAATGACCACTCATTCAATGATTGTTTAAAGTTAATGAATGAGTGGTACTGATGACCAGTCCTCAAAGATCCAACCATTGCAGCACCCCCCATGGCCACATGATCATAATCTGGGTGCACGGCATCTGATTCGCACTTAGAATTCTGGCATTGTTCCGCAGCTACATGATTGCTATTTGCAACTTTCCTGTCCCGCTGCACTTGTGCCCAGTGGGAGAGAGAACAAGTAACTTACTGGAGCAACTTGTGACCTTCCCTGCAGGCTTCCCCATTGACTTTACTTCTGGAAAGCCGGTAGGGAAGGTTACAAATTGGAATCAGGTTATTGTGGGATGATGGATGATGTAACGCTTCACAGGCTGTTCATGCACCCTCCCCCACCCAGCAGCAGCCATCCCCAGTACCACTGCACATGTATCGCACCTTGTGTTGCGCCTGGTCTGCCCATTTGCCGGCAAGCTGCCTACAATCCTTCCTTAATGACAAAAACCGCAAGTGCCAGGGTTGCCATTGCTTAGCATTGTGGTTACGTGATGTTGTGCTTTATGACCTCATGCTTAGTGAGGGAAGCTCTGGTCCAGTTACCATTGTTAACCAAGGATTGCCTGTAGTTCATATGGATTTGAAGATTCTGTATACAGAAGGCACACCTGATAGCACTTTTCCAGTATTGCACAATAACAGAGATCTCATATAGTGTTATTTCCTGAATTAGTCTTTAAAGTATTGTGTTTTTATTGGTTTCTTTAACGCAATTTGAACATTGAGTTGAATAATGTTTAACCTGCCGGGTCTTGACTGTAGGGCTTTCATTTCCCTCTGGCACATGATTATCAAGTCAGAAAATGATTTAGCAGCCGGGGTGAGATTGTTGCTTGTGTGTTTCCATTTGCATTATTGGCCCAAGCTCTGTGGGAGGTTTTCATCTCCTACCAAAGCAGATGATGAAGAAGCCTGAAAGCAAGCAGAACGAAATTTCTCTCAGTGTTTGTGCGGTAAATTTATAACTGTGGTAACAATTGACTGGTATTATGTATGAGCTTTATATCCCGCCTCTTCCCCAGGATCCCATCGCTGTGTAGCATTCTTACCTCCATTATACGTGATCAGCCCTTTCCAGGAGATGCTGATCATATTGCCATAACATTGGCAGAGCCTGGGGGCCGCCAGGAGAATCAAGATTTTGACTGAGGGATACGGACAGAGGTGGGACACAAGTCCCCACAGATGTAAACCATAGGAATAAGATTTTAAAGCCCCCATGGCTATGCTGTCTTGAGAGAAAGTGAAGGGTGTGGAAACGGAAGGGCTTGTTGACTGAAGTACAAAAGGCATCTTCCTGTTTAAAGATAGAGAGTGAAAATGACTGGGATAGAATAGTAATATAAAGAAAAGCTGGGAGGTTGGGCAAAAAAACCACCTTTCTTTCAAGTCAAGAAAGAGCATATTTACCAAATTACCCAAAGCAAAACCTCTTAAATTGAGATATACCAAGGGAACGTAACATAGTCTTGTCTTACCTATGACAAAACTGAGAAGAACTTAAAAGTTCTGGTGTGTGTGTATGTGTGCTATTTTGATTGGGGCTGGAGTAGGCCGGGGATGGATTTGAGTGTTATTATTTCTGAATTCTTCAAATAATTCACTCCTGCCTCGTCCTTCTGGGTTGCTTGCCAAAACCTGAACTTGGAATATTTGCACAAATTCACACTGGAGATCAGGTGGAAAGCTAGAGTTATTTATTAAGAAAGATACAAGCTTAGAGAGCAGTGTGCCTACTTCTCTTTGGGGAGTGGGGTGCAAATCCTTTTTGGGCACTGGGCCTAAAAGCATATCTCTTTCACATGTTTTCGTAATCTGAATCTGTTGAACTAGCCTGTACCAACTGTCAACCTAAATATTACTAGCGAGGGAGAACAAAGCGTCTTTATAGAGAGATCAGCCTTCCATCAGACCTGCACGCATCAGGTGCAGCCAAATAGCTTATTTGGGCCCCCAACTGAGTATATGTAGCACTCCAGCCCTGCCTCGCCTCTCTCCTATTCTGCAGCTTTTCTTTAAATATAACAGGCCTGGAGCTTAGCTTCCCATCCCACTTCTGCATGGCTGAGCGATTCTGACAGGTTGTGAAGAGAATCTCTTTTGCTTATGGCTCCATTTCTGGGTCATCCTGCATGTGATCCAGTGTCACTGGTGGCAGATGTGACATCAGTTTTATTTTAGAGGATGCTCGGAGAACTGAGTATTTCGCCCAAAGCGTGAATAGACAGCCCAGTTTTTTTCATTCCGCCCTCACTTTTGATGTATAGGAATTGCCCTCAATTAGATCAATATGAATTCACATACCACGCTAAAGTGCTTATCTGCTTTCTCTGATTTGAGATTAGCCTGTGAACCCAAGCATGGTTGGGTGTAAACCATGGACTATAGTGTACAGTTGTATACTTATGGATGTGAAGAAGTCATAGTTAAGACTAGTTTGGGGTAGCCAGTTTCCATTTCTCCATGTTAGGGGCACTAGTCTGAAGTAATAAAGAGTTGCCTAAGACAGGTGCTGATTTAAAAAAGGATTGTTTAAGACAGGCTCTGGCAGTTTAACTTGGTGCCTCCTGCAGCTTTCTTAAGCCATCAGGAAACGTTTTTTGCTGACCTGAGAGCTAGGCCCAATCTTCTAGAGCACAAGTCGGCAACCTGCGGCTCCGGAGCCGCATGCGGCTCTTTGAGCCTTCCCCTGTGGCTCCCAGCCTCCTCTGCCTTTGCAGAGAGAGACAGAGACAGAGAGAGGCAATTGCACTTCCCTGCTTCTCTCTCTCTTTCTCTCTCTCTCTCTCTCTCTCTCTGTGTGTGTGTGTGTGTGTGTGTGTGTGTTTTGTGTGTGTGTGTGTGTATGTGTATGTGTAAAAGAGAGTGCACTCACAGTGTTCTCCGAGGAGCTGAAAAGCTTTCTGGGCGGAGCTCCTCCTTTGCTGCGTCTCTGAAGGAAGCAGGAAGGGCAGGAGAGAGCTAGCTAGCCCAGCTAGGCTGACTCAGGAATTCTGGGAGTTGAAGTCCATTAGTCATAAAAGAGACGAGGTTGCCTACCCCGGAGGTTGTTGGACAACAGCTTGAAGCTTGCCAGGTGAGCAGCAGATAGGAGGGGGGGGGAAGAGAGAGAGAGAAAGAGAGAGAGGGGGAGAGAGAGAGAGTGGGGAAAGAGGAGTGGCAGACCAAGGGCAGATAGAGAGGGAGGGAGAGAGAGACCCTTTTGACATCTAAAATGAAGATAACACTGCATATATCCTTTTTTTACCTGTGTGGGTATGTAATTTTATTCTCTTAAAGCATTCTCTTGGTGATCATTGTTTTAATAGTATGGATATTCCCAAGAGTCATATTTTTACTTTTATTTTTAATGTGTATGTGTTGCTTCTCTCCTTGATCAGTTTCCATCCATTGCTTCTTGTCTTGCCTTCAGGTGCTTTGGAGAATAGCTTGACTCCCTCTTCTTTGTGGCAGCCCCTGAGATATTGGAACACTGCTATCATGTCCCCTCTCGTCCTTCTCTTCATTAAACTAGACATACCCAATTCCAGCAACCGTTCCTTATATGCTTTAGCCTCCAGTCTCCTAATCATCTTTGTTGCTCTTCTCTGTACTCTGTGTTTCTATGGCATGCTTT